TGACTGGCCCCCGACTTATGTCATGGCATAATCTTTTGTCCCGTCTGGATGCGATTAGCCTGACAGAAGGCCGGGATGTGTTTCGCTGGAACCTTACTACATCAGGGTCTTTCACTGTAGACTCTATGTATTGTGCTCACGCATTCTGAGGTACCGGTGAGTAATAATAAGAAATTTTGGAGGTCGAAGATGCCACTAAAAGTTAAAGTCTTCATGTGGTATCTTCGTAGGGGAGCTGTGCTAACCAAAGACAACCTCGCACGGCGCAATTGGCAAGGGAGTAAGAAGTGTTGTTTTTCTCATGATGAGACAATCAGACACCTCTTTTTCCAATGCAACTTTGCACGTTCTTTGTGGTCAGTCATCCAAATAGCGTCAAATTTATATCCGCCCACAAGTGTTGCCAAAAAATTTGGTCATTGGTTGGACGGTATTTCAAATAGGTTCAAAACGCTATTGAGGGTGGGAGCGTATGCTTAACTATGGTCGCTTTGGCTATGTAGAAATGATTTTATTTTTAATGACAAAAATGCTTCTCCTTTCCAGGCTATTTTTCGTTATACGCACTCCCTTCGTACATGGTCTATGCTACAACGAGCGGAGGTCCAACCGCTGTTCAAGGCGGTGTGTACGCGGTTGGAGCAGGTGGCTACAGAGGTTTTTACCCAACATGGGTGGCAGCATAAATCCATCTCACCTTTCGACATAGGCACAATGTCGGTCTTTAGGACTCTACTATTGCCGATTTGTCGGTTTTTGTTTTTTTCTGGTTCGGCTGTGTGCATCTTAGTTATGCAGAGGCTAGGTGTTGCTCATAATGCTTTGTATCCACTTGATGCTTCATTTTGAGTTAATAAAATCACCCTTTATCAAAAAAGGATCTCCCTGTCACACTTCAGCAGCTCCAAAAATGCTTTATCTTTCATTAACTATACATATGTTGTTGCAAACATATAAAAATGCTTCATCTTTCTTATTGAAAAAGAGTCTGATAACTGTTTCAGGTCTGACAAGTGGAATTTGGAATAGCAAACCATGTTACCATGTACTGATCAGTACTAATATATCCTCGTCCGGCCCAGCCGACACCTGCATCTGTTCGACACCGCACAACCTCAACGCTGCCACATCCGATGCACACGAACGATGCCGCATCTCGATCGGCCGCTGGCCGGCCGGCCGGCCATGCAACAGCCGGCGCCTCAGCCTCTACTCCGATCCCTAGGCGCACATGCACTACTACAACTGTTCATCCATACGCGCGCACCGCACGTACGCTCTGGCGTACGTAGCGCGCAGGGAATTGTTCCGGCGACGGCCGGGGGCCACCAACCACGTGAATGCTCCCCGGCCCCCACACCGCGCTCCCCTCCCCTCCCCTCCCCTCCCCAGCTATCACCTTCAAGCATCACGCCTCCGTCCGTCCCCTTCACTTCACTAGCACCCAGCTTCGCCTCCCCGCCAACGTCGCTCTCGGCCCATCCGCCCGCCCGCTCCCCGCGCGCGTCTCCACTACCCCCTCCCTGCCAGATCGCCCGCTCCAGCCGCGCGCGGCGGCCGGCCGGCGGGCTAACCTCCAAGCCGCATGGACTCCCCGGGCACCGCCGGCCCTCCGTCCTCCTCCGCGGGCGACGCGCAGCAGCCGGTGGCGCTGGCGGTGGCGCCCCCGCAGCCGCAGCCGCATCCCCCGCCGCCGCAGCAGCAGCTGAGCAGGTACGAGTCACAGAAGCGGCGGGACTGGAACACGTTCCTGCAGTACCTGCGCAACCACCGCCCCCCGCTGACGCTGGCGCGCTGCAGCGGCGCTCACGTCATCGAGTTCCTCAAGTACCTCGACCAGTTCGGCAAGACCAAGGTGCACGCGTCCGGCTGCGCGCACTACGGCCAGCCCAGCCCGCCCGCGCCCTGCCCCTGCCCGCTCCGCCAGGCCTGGGGCTCCCTCGACGCTCTCATCGGCCGCCTCCGCGCCGCCTACGAGGAGAGCGGCCACGCGCCCGAGTCCAACCCCTTCGCCGCGCGTGCCGTGCGGATCTACCTCCGCGAGGTCCGCGACGGCCAGGCCAAGGCCAGGGGCATACCCTACGAGAAGAAGAAGCGCAAGCGCACGCCGGCGCTCCCTGCCGGCGGTGCCGGGGAGGGAACGAACTCGTTGTCGGCCGCCGCGGCTGTCCCTGGACGCGGTGAAGGTGGAGAGCAAAGTGGCAGCGGCACCGCGGCGGCTTCGCCACTGCCGTCACCCACCGGCGCCCAGGCGGAAGGGAGTAGCGTCACCGCTGCACCAACAAGCACCTCCCGAGTATAGTAGAATCAATCACCTCGCCGACAAGAGACCTCCCTCCTTGTCGTATTTGCTTCCCTACGTACGTGTCGGTAATGTATACATCGTTCGCGCTTAATTTGCAAGGTTTGAGCTATATTTCTCTTGCCATTTGATTTCACTATCGTTCTCCCTTTTCTTGTTTAATTGTTTCTCGATCGAGTCCTTATGATTTAGCTGCCGCCTAGGTCAGTGAGTAGCTGAGTAAGTATGTGCCAGTCGGCAAATGGTAATTGAGATTTGAATATTGGAGTTTCGGGAGCTGAACAATTGATCAGTGCTTAGCTGATGTCTTGCTCATGTCCCAATGTCACATACATACCCTTTGTGGTGACATAACCGCAAGATTTGATGTTAATTGGGTATTTAAGATGTTCCATTGCAAGGAACCTCTCCATTTTCTTTTGATTACCATGCATTGCTTTCTCTCTATGCATAGTTCTTGGCAAACATTTGGACACTGCTACAGTGAGACGCTGTACTGTGTACTAGCACATGCATTTTCACTTCAAGTTTGTGTTCCACTAATACTGTGCAAATGGAGACATACGCAGGTGCAAATTAAAAGCTTGCATGAATGGTGCATGTACTCCTCTGGTGCACACATACAGTAGCCCAGCGGACGACCTCCTCAACCACATTACCATTAATCGAATCCCTTTCCAGAGAGAGTACTAGTAATCAGCATGCATGCATTTCTTAATTACATTAGCTGTAATTTAGGTTTTTTACTTGATAAACTAGTCAAATTTGAACCTGTAAAATCTGATCTATAATTGGGACCGTATGCCCTGGATTTTGATCCGAGGGTACTGCTTGAAAGGAGTACTGAACTGAACTCAAGGCAGACCGATCTTCTCTGGTCCCCGGCCGGATGGGACACTGTAGACTCACTGCATGCGGCCGGGGAGTAATCTTGGCCCATGGCGGCGGCGACCACACGTGCGGGCGCGCTACCAGCCCACTGTTGCTCTCTCTCCAAAGATCTCGTCCCCCACTCCATCTTCTAGCTCCGACGTGCGCGGCTGGCCGGCCATGCACCCGTCTGCATGCATGCATGGACGGTGCAACTTCCGTGAGCTTTGTTTCCCTCGCCTTCTATTGTTTTTCTCTATCATGTTACTTTATATTCGGAGTAGAACGACATCAGATTTTCCAGACTGAGATGATGAACACAATTCACAGATCCATCCAAATTTCCAAGAGAAAATATACGGCGTGGTCTTGGCTTCTGCGTCTCCTTCTCTTGTCACACACTGCCTGACGTCGTTTCTCCTGCCTGCCTTTGAGTTTGAGCTCCCTTCCCATTCATTTTTGGCCGCAGCCGCCATGGTCGACCCCCTTTTCTGAGGATAGGGAGAGAGAGACAGAGAATAAGAAAAGGAGATAGGCAAAGATGAAGAACAGTAGCTAGCCTTTTCCTCTCCTCCCCTCACTTTCTCGCGAAGGGACGCACGGCGTGTGTCGTGTGCAGTGCCCTGGATCGATCGCTAGGCGCGAGAAAAGGGATGATGCTAGTGAATCCGCTAGCTAGAGCTCGCCTCGATCTCCATCGGTCGTCTTTTGCATGGCCCCTCCTCGCATCATTTCATCATCTCATGGATCAGGCAGGCTGGCCCGGCCTCACGCTGACCGGCCGGCGTCCATCCGTCTGTGATCCGCCAAATCGATCGGCACTGTGGCTAAGCACTGTGCGTGCACTTTGCCCATTTTTACACGGAAGCGTGACCCCACCGTGCAAACACTCCCTGAGCATAAACCACCGACTTCCCGCGTGCTCGCTATTAATTCTCAGACGTCGAGTCTTGACATAAGTCAATCAGTGGGGTAGACCAGGTTTTGGTCGCTAAAGGTGAACGGTCCCTTTTTTTTACCGAGAGGGGTGGAGATTTGCGGTTGTATAGCACGGCTATCGCACAAAAGAAATCAAATGAATTGATTTCTGACCTGTCTTTTTTGAGATTAAGATCATGAACCATTCACATAATGCAACTTCTTCCTTCTGCCCATGAGAAGAAATAAACTTCGTCTATTGGAGTGCCTGGTGAATGCATCTAGTGGATGTTTCCTTCCATAGTCATGCATTTTTCCTATGTTTTTTCAGCTAGGGCCGCTTTTTAATTTTGATCACTGGTAAAAACATATTCTATTTGAGTATACTCCCTCTCTCTCAGTTTTTAGGGCGTGCGCGTACCCCTAGGTTGTCAATTTGACCAACCTAATACAAGTCATATATTACAAAAAAATATACAAATATAAACTTCAGATGTTCTATTTTCAAAAGGTATAATTTTTGTGTTATATAGTTTATATTAGAATGCTAAAATTGACAACCTTGATATACGCGTAGGACTTATAAACTGAAACGGAGGGAGTACATGTACCACTCTCAGAATTCACCACCCATAGCTACTTTTTACACTTCTATTTGGGCAGTCCTAGTGCACTACTATATCAATGATATTTAATACAACATCCACTTATAATGTAAGACGTTTTTGCAGTTGAAAATGAACTGCAAAAATGTCTTACATTTGTTAACGGAGTTAGTAGATGTTTAGATATAGTGGTGCCATTGCACTACATCTCAGTGTTGTATCTAAAACACCCCTCGTAATGTATTTTGTGAGAGAAACTTTATGGGGTGTCCTGGTTTTGGTGCTAAGGTAGTCCATAACTAGATTAAGATATAGTTGCTCTCTCTTCCCCATTAAATAAGTTGCCACATCAAATTTTTACCTATCATGCAAAGATACAAGCATTGAGGGTCCCCTTCGAGATTGGATTTATATTATATCAGGGTTCATGTGAAATTGTTTGCTTGGTAAACCCATTTACCAAGGAGTACTATAGGACGCGACAGTTAGTCAAATATGAGGATATGAATTTTGAGTTTAACAGATAATAATATATATACAACAGATAATAACCATACGAGGAAATGAATTTTGAGTTCACATGATGCAATTTAGGTCATGCAGGACTCTTGGGCTCACCACACTTAGCTACTACTTGGAAACTTCTATTCCAACTCAATCATCTTGATATTTCATCTGGTAAAACCATTTACCGAGGAGGGCTGAAAATCAAATACTCATATTTGCTTCTCTATGATCGCCTGGTCCCCACTAGGAGCTAGATGGAACTTGGAGATTTAAAATTTCTTCATGAGGCATTCCCATGAAAACACTATGTTGACTACTCTCTCGACATAATGCAACGATTCAAGCTGCGGGATCGTAAAATATTATGCTATTATCTCATTGGATTGCCTCTACGCCATTCATATGAAATAGGAATAGGGAAGAATGTCGATATTGGCCCTCATCAGAAATTACGGTCACAGAAAAATCCCTATCTCTAACAAGATTTTAGGAGTAGTTTTTTTGTTCTTTTGGAAAATTGTGCGGTAAGCCTATTTTGGACCCGTGAGTGTGGTTGCCATTTGCCCCATTTTTTCGAAATCCATCTACCCCATTTTTGTGGAAATCATATATCGACCAACTTTGAATACCTGTTCGCCTGCCATCTATGGTCCTCCGTATGTGACAAGTAATTTACATTGTTCCTTGTTCCTTTTGTCATTTTTGTACATGTCACATCAATATTTTAAATAGTGCGCTACAAAATATAGCGAGGCCCTTCTCTAAATGCTACACAAGTTATAGCGCGCTAATAGCATGCTATATTTCAAAATAGCGTTTGCAAAAAATTCAAATATATCTAGAAATAAAGTATTTAAGCAACTAAATTTTTCATAGAAGCAAGCAATATATGCATCTAATAAAAGGAGTGAAAAAACTAGTGGGAGAATCTGATAAAAGGAGTGAGAAAGCTAGTGATCGTGGGTTGGTTTTGGCCTGCTGGGCTGTGCTTATTTCAGTTTTGCATGGTTGGGCAGGCGCGTGCCCCTACGAGTTTTCCTCCTCTGTAACCTATGCTTCCTTTGCTACGGGCAGCTGTGGATCGCCAAAATAGTCATTTTCATTGGCCTGACTCCTGAAGAAAATATGTTGTGAGAACGCCTTCTCTCCCTCCCGCTTCTGATCCCTACGTTTCGTTGCCGAAGTTTTGATGAACAGTCTACAAAAGCAAAAAATATGCTTTATTAACTTGGTGATGATGTGAGCAATGCAAGACAAGTTTATGCCTATATTCGCCCTCCAGTACACACCATGCTTAGCCAGGTCATGAGCTACTCCTATATAATTATGTTTTATTATTGCACCCTCTGTCCTAATTAATATGCATGATGCACCCTTTGCTTAATTTTCTTTTAGTTTAGGCCCGTTGAGTTCATCTTATAGTAGCAAGGTAGGCACATAATTAAGGAAATGCCTCAGGCTAGCTAGCTAGCTAGCTTGGCTATAATAGCTAACCTGTGCTGTTGCTTGTGCTTTATTCGATCAGGAGCCGTGGTTGCAACGTCGGATCGGCCGGGCATCCTTTTGTAGTCGGAGTAGTATTTTTCTAGTTTTATTACTACTAGGGGACGTACTGGGTGTACGGACGGGCCATATTGTTTTGGGAGCGGCAGAGGCATCATCGGATTCTCGATCTGTGATGATTGGGGCCGCGACGTTATTAAATTTTGCGCCCGTACGTACAGTACATTCGTTGCGCAGCGGCCACCCCGATCGAGCCCTCGTCGCTTTGTTCTTTCCTGTCCTAGGTACGTCGGTCGTGTTGACTGGCGACCGAGAACGCAGATGGCAACAAGACTATAGTTAGTTAACCTCAAAGCCAGCGATTCAAACCGTTTACGAGTCTGGATGATGCGATGACGGGATTGCGCACGTACAATATTTTCCGTTAGTTGGGAGTTTTGGATGAGCTAACTATATATAATGCATGTGACCCAGTAGTCGTAATTTAAAACCAAAAATTACAGCCCATTTTAAGTCCATGTTTAGACGAGAGAGCAACGGCTACCCGTGAATAGAGAGATGTATAATTAGGTTTATTTGCCCAATTTTCTCGATCAA